CAACCAGACAATGAGGCATCAGATCATTCACTCATCATGATTGCTTCCTTTTCCCTCCCTAATCCTGGAGCCAATCTCCCCCTGTAGCTACATCACTTCCTCCACTGTATAAAGGCCCCCAATTTTAGTCAGTCAGAGAGACAGATTTGAGAATGCTCTTCTGTCTCCTTGGCTGCAACAACCGATTAAAGTCTTCTTCCCTGGCAATACTTTTTATCTCAGTGATTGGCTTTCTGTATGGCAAGTAATGGGACCTAGATTGAACCCGTGGCATTTCAATAACAGTATCAGTTCATCACCTTTAATGGGCTGGAGCAGGTCAGTTCACACAAACCAGAAACTGTCTTTCCTAAGTAACTCTACTGCCCAGGATATATCAGTCTGATGAACAATTATAGATGGTGAATCACACCAAACAAATGATCAGTCTTTGACGGTCCTCATTAATGAATCCTGGAGCCAGTCTATTCCTATCTCTTAGCATACCTCCTGACATCACTTCTGGAGTAACTGTGGTGCCCAACCTACTGACATTTTCATCCATAGTCTTCCCATTTCCAAAGCCACTATAATAACACGAGCCTTTTCTTCCTGATTACCACCTCCCCCCTAACCCTTTCCAGGACTTTGGGTCATTAAACAGGCTTCCTTGTAGTCTAAATATCTGTCATACCCCTATAGTGGTGGTAATTCTTTTTTTTTTTTCCTACACTTCTTTATTCTCACTTTTCCTTCTTTATGAATCAGGCCCAGTTTTCCTTTGAACTAGGCCAAAAGTCCACTTAAAAGTCATTGTCTTATAATATGCTCAAAATACTTCCTCTGTAAAAATAAGTAATTTAAAATCTAAGCTGTTGGAACTTTAAAATATCTGAGCCTTAAGGGAATGTGATTACGGGACCTGAGTCAACATAAGCAGGCCCCTGTCACCTAGGCTAATGTAATCTTTGTTTCTTTGTTAGAGATTAACTTTTTTCCTTGCCTACATTGTTTTGTAAAAGACAGTAAATAACTGAAGGGCACTAGGGAAAACCCCTATTGATCTTCATTATAGATTATCTTTTCTTCTTCTTTTCTTACACAAAGGCTTCATGACTATCACATTGTCTAAGATGCAATGTTAAACACACCCTGTTAAATTGGAAAGGAAAAGAAAAACAAACAGTACAGAAAAGAAAACAAACTGTAACTAATTAAATTTTTGTAGGGAGGGTAGGTGTTGAGCCCAAAGTGAGCAGAGAACTGCTTTGCAACTGTCTGAGCATACTCACTGCAGCCCTGGCTGGGGTTCCAAGGCTTACATGACAAAAGCTTTAGTATTGTTATCTATACTAACGCTTTTCAGTAGAGTATTTAAGCAGACTGTGTACTATAAGGTAAATAATGAGTTTTAGGATAAAAAGTGCAATTCTCGGCTTTAAAAGTAGATATTTGAAAGCATTAGTTTAGGAACTTGTAGCCCACAAAAAAATTAGGATTTAGTCTACACCGCATAAAAAAATAAAAACTTAAGAACATCTAACAAGTGTACTATAGTTTTTAAAACATAATTTTTCTCTCTCCAGTTTTCCATTTTTACTAAAGACAAATCATAGTAGGACCGATTTCCTTTATTATACTTGGCCTGATTATTTGTATAAAGTACATCAAGAACAATTATTATTCATATAGGTTTTATAAATTGGCTTTTATAGAACTATGTTCCATAAGGAATTTCAGATAAGACTGTTTTAAGCTGAGTCCAGCCATGGGTTGGTACACTTAAATACCTTCGAGTTGCGTAAATTCCTCTCAAAGTCCCAAGATAATTTGGGGCTCCTGTTAGAAAGTGACATTCTTTACTTACCACAGGTCAGGACAAAACCACATTTGCAAAATTATGATTGAAACAGTGAAAGAGACCTAACTTAACCAAGTCCATCTTGCTTCTAACTCCAAGCTGTCCTTGTTCATTCCTGCATGTAGGCTGAACTAAGGGAGAAACATAGTTTATAGTTTAAACAAAAATGGTAACAACCTTCTCCCAAAGCAAACCTCCTTCTTGCCTGAGGACTACATTGCCTTTGTAGGACTAACTTAGCCATGAGATTAGAAATTATGGTTTAGGAGTCAGGCAGCTGGAGACTACAGAATCCTGACCCTCCCTAAACCTGTCCTAAAATCAGTTCTTGAGACTTTTTTCAGACCCTGCACTTGATGGATCAGCTGGCTCAAACCAGATCATTAAAAAACTGATCTTACGGCCCCCACCCAGGAACTGACTCTGCGTAAGAAGACAGCTTTGATTCCCTGTGATTTCATCTCTGACCAATAAGCACTCTTAGCTCACTGGCTTCCCCAATCCACAAAGTTGTCCTTAAAAACTCTGCTCCCCAAATGCTCAGGGACACTGATTTGAGTAATAATAAAACTCCAGTCTCTAGCACAGCCGGCTCTTCATGAATTATTCTTTCTCTCTTGAAATTCCCCTGTCTTGATGAATCAGTTCTGTCTAGACAGTGGGCAAGATGAACCCCTTGGATGATTACAAGAACTCCTGTACATGAATTGTGTAGACAAGGTATGAGGCCAGTTTTCCGAAGGGTTTTTATTGGCTCTATAAGTCAAGTTTGATTCCTTAAAGGAAAGCATGCCATTCCGGTAAAAGCCTTGGTGAAACAACCAGTTTCTTCATAAGTTAAGAATACTCACAAATAGTCTCCAAATTCTGGAGAAATCAGGTAGAGAGAAAAAAATGTGCTCCAAATTTTATTCACAGGAATATGTTTTACTCAATTGTCAAAAGCTGTATATAGCTCAAAAGAAAAGTCTTCTTGGCTCTGGAAAAGAAAAAGGATCAGCAATGTTTTAAGAAAAAAGTAAAAAAAAAAAAAGATTACTTCAGATTTCTATTAGTTTAGTCCATTCAGTTAACTCTTGTTGTGTTTTATATTGAATATTTATATTTGGCAGTTAGTAATTATCTTAGTTCTCTCATGTGGGCATCAACAGTGGCAAGAAGACAAAATGAAGAAAAACAGTTCAGTTGACTGAGAAGAAAAACTTTTTTTCTTTTTTTTTGGAAAAAAACGTGATTCAAGAAGAGAAAAAAGTAAAGGTCTTTTAAATACATCTAGCTTGGATATCCAATTTTAATTAAGCCAGTTTTAACCACAGAGCTCTTTTGTTAAAAAAAAAAATCTTTTTAAAAATCTCTTATTACCAGACTCTAGCCAGGGCAGTCAATATTTCTGGCCTTTGAATTCTACCCAGGTAATCTCCCACATGAAATTAGTAAGTCTTAACTAAGGTTTTAACGTAACCATGAACACATAAGATTTTTTGTTTTTGTTTTTGTTTTAATGGAGTCTTCTGTTGCCCAGGCTGGAATGCAGTGGCACGATCTCACTGCAACCTCTGCCTACCTGGTTCAAAAGATTCTTCTGTCTCAGCCTCCCAAGTAGCTGGGACTACAGGCATGTACCACCATGCGTGGCTAATTTTTTGTATTTTTAGTAGAGATGGGGTTTCACCATATTTGCCAGGCTGGTCTCAAACTCCTGACCTCGTGATCTGCCTGCCTCAGCCTCCCAAAGTGCTGGGATTACAGGCGTGAGCCACCACGCGTGGCCTTGAACACAAGTATTTTCAAAAGATGATAAGCAGTTTCTTTTCTTTTTCTTTCTTTTTTTTTTTAAACATGATTTAGAATCTTCCCAAGATTAGTTCAGAGAAAGGAAAATTCAAGACAGGAAATCAGAAGCTATTCATGGGGAGAGGGGAGGAACCTCAATACATGGGAAAGTTATACAAATAATAAACCAGAAAGGAATCATTTGGAAGCCAAGAATTGAACCTGGGCCACCACTGTCAAAAGATAAAGCACTGGCTGGGTGTCGTGGCTCATGCCTGTAATCCCAGCACTTTGGGAGCCCGAGGCAGGTGGATCATGAGGTCAGGGATTTGAGACCAGCCTGACCAACATGGTGAAACCCTGTCTCTACTAAAAATACAAAAATTAGCCTGGCGTGGTGGTGTGTGCCTGTAATCCCAACTTCTCAGGAGGCTGAGGCAGGAGAATCACTTGAACCTGGGAGGTGGAGGTTGCAGTAAGCCAAGACCTCTCAGGAGCCAAACTGAGACAGAAACCCCATGGTGGAGCTACCCACACGCCCTGCAACGAGGCTACAGACAGACACTCCACCATGGGGCTAGAGAACCAGTCAGGAAAAGGAAGGAGGCATTAGCAGTACCTAGGATACTCACCAACCCAGACACCCACAATGGGCCTACAGACAGACACCCTGTGATGGGGATACATTTATGGGATGTCTCCCCAGGACTATTTATCCGTTGCAATTAGCACCTTGCACATTGGGTTGGCAACACCCCACCAGTAGAAAGAGTACCAGAGTTGGCCCCCAGTCCAAGAGAACTAGGGGGCTGCTTGGGCTGGCCTCTGAATCCATTGCCGGAGGAAGGCTACTGAACCATGGACATATAGCAACAAGGGCAATCCCAGACGAGCCCCCAAATTTGTAACCGCTCGATAGGTTCACCTTGCCTGCTACCTAGACAATGCCAATTTATTAAGACGGGAATTGCAATAGAAGAAGAGTAATTCATGCAGAGCTGACTATGCAGGAGATAGGAGTTTTATTATTACTTAAATCACTCTCCCTGAAAACTCAGGGATTAGGGTTTTAAAGGATAATTTGGAGGGTAGGGGGCCAATGAATTGGGAGTGCTGATTGGTTGGCTCGGGGATGAAATAATAGGGAGTCAAAGTGGTTCTCTTAGGAAAAAAAAAAAAAAGAAAGAAAGAAAGTTGTTCTCTTATGCTGAGTAGTTCCTAGGTGGGGGCCACAGAACTGGTTGGCAGGTCCAGCTGGGACCATCTGGTTGCTAGAAATGCAAAACCTTCAAAAGACATCTCAAAAAGCCAAGCTTAGGTTCACAACAGTGATGTTACCTTTAAGAGTAACTGAAAAAGTTGTGACTCTTTTTTCTTTTTAATTAAAAAAAATATGGTACGCTTCACAAATTTGTGTGTTATCCTTGCGCAGGGGCCATGCTAATCATCTCTGTATTGTTCCAATTTTAGTACGAGAAGTTGTGACTCTTATGACCTCTAGAATAATGGCTGTTAATATTTAGAATTCCAGCCCCTCATTCTAACTTGGTGGCTGGTGGTCTTTCATTCATTTTACAAGGACAGTTTAGCTTTTCGTAAGGGATATTACTTAAACTATAAACTAAGTTCCTTCCCAAGGCTAGTTTGGCCTATGGCCAGGAATAAGCAAGGACAGCTTAAAGGTTACAAGCAAGATGGAGTTGGTTAGGTCTGATATCTTTCCCTGTCATAATTTCCGTAGTTATAATTTTCCAAAGGCAGTTTCAAAATTGTTTCAGGTATGTGTGTGTGTGTGTGTTCCTGAGTGTACTGAGACATAACATAAAATGAGTTTCTTATTGATTGACATGAGCTTTTTAAACAATGTTAGAATTGGCCTAGATCAGTGGTTCCTAAATTATGGTCCCTGATCCAGCCGTATTAGAATTACCTGGGACCTAGTGATCATAAGAATTGCAAATTTGGGGACTTCATCCTGGACCTACTGAATAGGGGCAGGGCCTGGAAACCTGTGTTTCAAAAAACCTCCAGATAATTCTGATCAATGTTAGTGTTATAAGTAAAATTTCGATGCCGCAAAAGAAATAGCATTGGATGATATGTCCTCTCAGCACGGCAGTTTACTTCTATAGAAGGATTTGGGGTGCACGGACGGAGCAATGATGACTGCCCCACACTTGAACAAGGGGGGAAAGGAGTACTTATGCCTGACGGGGGTCATCCCTGCTGCTGTGTCATCCGCTATTGGCTAGGGTTAGACCCCACAAACTAGACTAATCCCAATTGGCTATTTTAAAAAGAGCAGGGGTCTGAGCTGGAGTAGCAGGGTGGGTGTTTGGCGGGAAGGACAGTTAAGGGTGTGTCAGAGCAGGTAGCCAGGGGTGATCAGACTGGGATGGGTCAGGATGGTGCCAGCAGGGAGAGAGAGCAGACGTGAACTACTGATGAACCTTTGGATAAGTTGTTTATTGGAATTACAAGGAAGTCAAACTATAAAATAGAGATCTAAAGAATAAGAGAGCTGAACATACTGACATACTGATTCTTTGAAGAGAAACTTGGGGTTCACTATAACATTAGAAAACCACTGAAATCTAGGTAATTTAGGCTTTCTCAATCACAGGAGGGATTGAGGCTTTAGAGAAAATTATTTCAGTGACTTGTCATTTCTCCGAAGTAGAAAGCTGGCATTCTAGAAGATACTGGGAAATAAGTTAGTTATTACATACAATGCATGCCTTAGGGCAGGAGGGCTTAATTTTCTCTTAGGAGTTGTTGAGAAGGGAAAAAAAAATCTAGAATGATCCCCCAAGGTTTTTTTCAGAGTAAATTTGCATGATGTCAACAAAAATAGTCAAACTCTGTAAAATATTTGAAGAGATTTATTCTGAGCCAAATAGGAGTGACCATGGCCTATGACACTGAGAATATAAGATCCAGAGAACATGTGCCCAAGGTGGTTGGGGTGCAGCTTGATGTTACACATTTTAGGGAGACATGAGACTTCAATAAAATACGGTTAAGATACACATTGGTTTGGTCCAAAAAGGTGGGACAACTTGAAAGGGGAAAAGGTGGTGCTTCCAGGTTATAGGTAGATTTAAAATTTTTCTGGTTGACAATTGGCTGAGTTTATCTAAAGACTTGAGAAATATAGAAAGGAAATGTTGGGGTTAAGATAATGGATTGTGGAGACCAAAGTTCTTATAATGCAGATGAAGCCTTCAGGTAGCAGGTTTCAGAGAGAATAAATTGTAAATGCTTCTTTTTGTTTGTTTGCTTGTTTGTTTGTTTTTGGAGACAGAGTCTTGCTCTGTCATCCAGGCTGGAGTGCAGTGGCACAATCTTGGCTCGCTGCAACCTCCATCGCCCGGGTTCAAGCAGTTCCCTACCTCAGCCTCTGGAGTAACTGAGATTACAGGCGCCTGAAACCACACACAGCTAATTTTTTTTTTAGTGGAGGTAGGGCTTCACCATGTTGGCCAGGCTGGTCTCGAACTCCTGACCTCATGATCCACCCGCCTCAGCTTCCCAAAGTGCTGGGATTACAGGTGTGAGTCACTGTGCCCAAGCCGTAAATGCTTTTTGTTAGACTTAAGGTCAGTGTTGATGTTAATGCTGGAGGGTATAATGAGGCATGTCCAACCCACACTTCCCATCATGGCCTGAACCAGTCTCTCAGATTAAATTTTAAGAGCCCCCTGGTGAAGGAGGAAGCCCATTCAGATGGCTGGGAGGTCTTAGAATTTTATTTTTGGTTTATAGTGACTTAACCCAAGTTTCCTAAAACATAAAGTAATCCAACCAAGGATTTGCATAAAATTGTTTTGGCTTAAAATGTATTTTCTTCTTATCTCTATTGTGATTACAAACAATGATTCTATTATGATAATGACGAATTTAAATATATAACTGTTACTAAGAGTTGGAAATTATGATTTGCTGAGGACATTAAAAATCAGCCTCTAGTTTATTTATCTAATAATAATGGCCATATTTGCAAACTCTCTAGAACAGTGATTCACAGCCACTATTCCGATTTAACCCTGTTTTGTTCCCAGTACACACTCCTAATCAGTAACATCTCTCATCACAATGCTGTGATTCTCATGGGGACTAGGGGGGCTGTAGAGCATGAAAAGTCTCATTGAGGATTCTAATGCACCCCCCTCCCCCACATACACACCAAAAGAATCTCTGCACTAGGATAAAAGACAAAGTTGCTAAGAACAATCTAAGTCAGCAGGGAATATATCATCCTCCCAGAATAGCCAAGTTTTAAATAGGCATTGACTGAGTTCCAGGATGATCCAAGAGCTCAGAGCATAATTCATTATTGTATACTTATTTATTCGCTCCAAAGAACCACTATTCTTTCAGAAGAGAGCAAAATCTGGTTATGAAAACAGGAAAGTTTTCTTGTCAATCAATGAATTAATATTTTTTGTGGCTGCTGGATAGGCATCAGTGTATTTGGCATTACACAGGACATGGGTGCGTTGAAACTGCCTTTGCAAAAATTGTATCAGTGAGAAAATTATGGCAGTGGGGGAGATCTGATCTAGCCAATTCCCCTCCTGCCTTTAGCCATCAAGCAATCGAGCTGCCTTTATTACCGGACTAGCTTTGGGAGACATTTAGTTTATAGTTTAAATGAAAGCAGCTATTCCCCAAAACTCAACTGCCTTTGTAAAGCTAATGAGAGAACTCCGGGCTAGGAGGAGGAGAGGTGCCTGACTTCTGATAAAGTATAGACATAAATGATTGCCAGTCTTTATTCCAGAGGTAACAAGATATATAACTTCCCCAATTACTCCTGCAAATAACATAATTATTGTAGAATCTAAGATTGGCCTTTTGAGATTTCATTTCAGGGTTTTGGCCTGTCTGATACCTATGCCTAAGGCTCCACCTGGACCTGCCCACTGCTCCTGTGGCCACATCTAGGTTTCAGCCTGCTGCAGGATCATTTCCAACACCCCTATGATTGCACCCACCATCTATTCAGCAGCCACCCCCGTCACTTCCCCCAGACTACTTCTGAAAAGCCCTAGCCCCTGAAATCCCAGCTCTGTAGGAATTCAACTCCATTGCAATTTCCCTGCCTTGATAAATCAGCTCTATCTGGGCAGCAGACAAGAAGAACCCATTAGGTGATTACAGTTTTACAACTGGAGAGAAAAGATCAGAACACATGAAAGAAGCAACATAAAAATAAAACACTAATAAATGATAAATTATGAAGGACTACTTATGAAACTATCTGAAGTGGTTTTAAGAAATTTAGATGACTGGGCACAGTAGCTCACGTCTGTAATCCTAGCACTATGGGAGGCCGAGGTGGACGGATCACGAGGTCAGGAGTTTGAGACCAGCCTGGCCAACATGGTGAAACTTCATCTCTACTAAAAACACAAAAATCAGCTGGGTGTGGTGGCATGTGCCTGTAGTCCCAGCTACTCAGGAGGCTGAGGCAAGAGAATCACTTGAACCTGGGAGACGGAGGTTGTGGTGAGCCGAGACTGTGCCATTGCACCCCAGTCTGGGTGACAGAGCAAGACTCTGTCTCAAAGAAAAAGAAAAAAATATATATCTAGATTCCAGCCAGGCAAGATGGCTTGTGCTTGTAATCCCCAGCACTTTGGGAGGCTAGGGCAGACAGATCACTTGGGCCAGCCTGTGCAGCAAGGTAAGCCAGTTCTAGACCAGCCTGAACAACAAGGTGAGACCCCTGTCTCTACAAAAAAATACAAAACTTTGCTGGGCATGGTGTTGTGCACCTGTGATCCCAGGTACTTGGGAGGCTGATCGCTTGAGCCCAGGAGGTGGAGGTTGCAGTGAGCTGAGGCTGCCTCACTGTACTCGAGCCTGGGCAACAGAGCCAGACACTGTCTCAGAAGAAAGAAAGAAAGAGAGAGAGAGGGAGGGAAGGAGGAGGGGAGGAAGGAAATATAGAAACCAACCCCATAAATGCTATGCTATGTCAGAATGCCATAATATCAGAAATGCTTACATTGATTCATCAGAGTCAGGGCCCAGGAATCTGCATTTAAGTCTGCCAGGTTGTTCTGATAATCAATCCAGTTGAGCACGACTACCTCAGAAATCCATAAAAGAGGAAAATTAATTTTGACCAACACTATCAGGGAACACCTTTTTTGTGGAGCAGTGAAGCTGAGATGGGCCCTGAGTGGAACTACCTGTGCAGAATTATAGCAGAATTATAAATAATAAGAGAAGCCTAACAGGCTAGCTCCATCTTGTTTCTAACCTCACAGGCTAATTTTTTTTTTTTTTTAATTCTAGCACAGAGGCCAAAATAACTATGAGAGGTATTTAGTTTATAGTTAAACTTGGAGGCAAAGGAAACTAATCCTCCCAACCCCACCCTACCATGCCCACACACACTATTCAGAGATTGAAGCCACATTCTTTTTTTTTTTTTTTGAGATGGAGTTTCGCCCTTGTTACCCAGGCTGGAGTGCAATGGCGCGATCT